ACACGTTTGCCACAAGTTTGCATCCACAACCCCCAGGCCCGACCCCAGCAGACACGCTGGGCCGTGTGCTTCCCAACAGGATAACCCTGGGACCCAGGGTGGGGCACTGACGGGCTTTCTGAGTATCTCAGAGGATGAGGGCTGAGTGGTCACACCGGCAGGGACAAAGGAGCAGTAGTCACGCTGCAGGGGCCTGGGTTCCTGCGAGAGAGGGGGTCAGGGTAGCCTTGGTGGCAAAATGATCTGGGCATTTGAGGCAAGCGGTCAAGATGCCTCCCCACCGCCTCCCCTTGGGGCCCAGTCCAGATGGTCCCAGGCTCCATGACCTCACCCACCTCTGTCCATGGGGACCACCCCAGGGCGCTGCATGGAGGAGATGGAATCAGAGAAGCCCCAGGAATGTGAAGCAGAGCCCAGCCTCGCAGGCCGCCAATCAGGCCTGTGCTCCAGCACCCAATGATCACACTCAGAGCAGCTGCTGCTCAGTTAGAAGCCACTGGAGGGAAACCGTAACCACAGCAAGCCCCAGCCCTGGCCCCAAACCTGTGCAGCCAGGCCGCAGTGCCATGAGGAGGGGGACCCATGGGGCTACTCAGCAGTAACCCCAGGGTTGGGTCACCCAAGCCCCAACTTCGTAGATTAAAACTAGGGCATGGGCCCTCCACCCCACTGCACGGCCCAGACCCCAGGAGGGAGACAGACACCATGAACCAGGATCTTCTTCTATTACCACGTGACCCTGAGAGAGGTCTTGGGCCCTGCACAGTGGAGCCAGCGCTGCCCATCTACCTTGCAGTCTGAACACTGGTGGGGAAACCAGGGACTGAAGTAACAGCACAAAAGCAAGGTGTGCCGATTATTTATAGCCCCCATGCAAATAGGCCCAGGCCCACAGGCCCCAAAGGAAGGCCACTGGCTCAGCCTCACTGCCGCTCTGCCAGGCCATGGAAGTGGCAAGGGCTGATCCCACACAGACCTCCATGAGGACCTGCCCCTCAGAGCCGGCTGAGGCCAGCCAGGCCTTTCCCAGCTAGCAGTGGGCTGTTAATCTCTACTCTCCAGTTTCTTCAGCCCATAGCAGAGGCAGCCCTATGAAGTGGGGGAGCACCGGACACAGAGTCAGAGGATCTGGGGGTGAATCTCAGCACCCTCACTTATAAGAAGGATCATCCTTCCCTAAGGCCAACACACACCAGATTAACCTTGTAATGGCATTAGCTCACTTCGTGTCCGTGCTGGTTCTGGAAGTGGGTATTTTACTGATGAAGAAACAGATTTGGAGAGGTTAAATGCCCTGCCCAAGGTCACACAGCCAGTAAGTGGTAGAAGGATTTGAATCCAGGCCTGCATCTTGCAGCCGATGTTCTTTCCCATATACCATGTCAGGAAGAAGAGACAAAGGGAAAGAGGGAGCAAAGGTACAGACAGATAAATGTGCCAAGCACCACACACAGACACTGAGGACAGAGGAAACGAGGAGAGGGGTAAGGGCACCAGGAGAGTGGTGCCCTGTGCTTAATCAGAGTCTGTCTGCCCAACCCCCTCTGGGCCAGTCCTAGACCTGACCTTGAGGACCTCTTCCTTTTCTGTATGAGGGTGGTACAGACCCCTGAATTCTACCTTTCCGCCCATCCCAGCCCCTTGGGCCAGCCTCTGGTGCTCAAAACCTGGGGAAGCCTAGGCCATACTAGATTCCAGTCCCAAGGCATGAGGGCCCACTGATTCGGCTCCCCACCCCACCCTAGACCAGCCACCCAGAGGTAAGGAAAGGTGGTGCTGGGCAGGACCAGAGCAGGCAGGTCACCTCCTCCAGGGCAATGTACTCCCAGGCCGTCCAGGGCAGTGGACAAGGCCAACCTTGAGGTGGGCAGAGTGACCACACTGGTGAGGACTCCTGGGGCACAGAGGACAAGTGTGCATGCTGCACATCCACGTGTACACCCGTGAGTGTGTTCCAGCAATGGGGGTGATGTGGGAGACATGGCCTGAGGTGTGCCATCTGGAATAGAAGTGTACTTTCTAACTCTTCCACAGCAATCACGTGTAATTTGTTCAATAACAGTTTTGTTAAAGGTGAAAAACAAAACCCATTAAGTCAAAACATATCTAAGAGATGGACCTTTAGACACTGACCCGCCCATCTCCTCTTTGCAGGGGGGGGAAACCAAGAATGAGGTCCTGCAATGAGAGTCTCCAGGTCCCCAGACCCGACCTGGCCCCTCTACTCCGGTCCTTCCCTGGCACTGGATTCTGTCTCATAGGCCACAGGGACATGCCCACTGGACCGAGGAGCAAAGTGGGGCCCCAAGAAGAGAGACTTGGCCAGGCTCTTGGGGAGTGTGTGCAAACATAGATGGAGGCTCCCTCAGAAAATCTGCCAGAGAAATAAGAGGGGGCAGGCTGAGGTCGACAAAGGCAAGCAAACAGAGCCGGGGCAGCTGCTGGGGCAGAAGACGCCCTCCTCCCATGCAACCCTTTCCCACACATATCTGCCCAATCTTGGGGCCAGCCCCTGTCGCCTGCCCATGGAAGGCACCACCCGCCGCCAGTCAAGGCTGGGTGGAGGTGGCTGCAAAGTGGAGGCAGTGTCGGCCCAGGATTTCCTCGGTATACAGACCCGGCCTGGGAAGTAGTTCAAGGTCTAGCCCACTTGGGCCTAAAAGGATGAATGAAGGAGGGAGGACACATGAGGCCCAGAGAGTGGGAGTGAAGGCGAGTGAAAGGCAGTGTGATCAGTAGTATGGAGCAGGGCTGACTCTGGCAGAGCAGCAACAGGGCAAGGCAGCCGGGCTTGGCAGGGAGGATGGCCTCCCCAGATGGCCTTCCCAGACGGAAGCAAGTCAGAGAGGCCACAGGGGTTTCACAACCCAGGAAATGGGCTCATCAAGAAGAGCAGGAGGTGGGGGAGGGGAAGGGCTAGGCAAGGTCCCCTCTAAGGCCCTTCCACCAGGTCCTGTGCCCCAGCCTCCATATGACCAGCTTTGTCTTGGAGGAGGACCAGCTACGGTCTCAGATCATAGCCAAGTCCCAGAGCAAGTCCAGACACTTGCTCCCAACCCTCAACCCCCACGAGTGCTCCTTCTTGCCCCGCCCCTCACAGACCAACCACTGCAGTGGACTCTCCTCCCTTTCCCCAGCGACCCCAGTCACCACCAACCCATGAAACCTCCTGGGCTCCCACTGCCCTTGGAGAAACCCCAGACCTCAGCCTGGCCCTGGCTTGCTTCACCTCAGGTCTCACCTCTGGCTACTCTGTGAACCCCTGTCTCGCTTTTAAGCCCCCTCTTTTACATATGCTATTCCCTCAGCCAGAATATCCTGAATTCCTACATATCCTTCCAGACAGTTCTAAAGGCCAACCCTGGGGAATCAGGAAGCCAGCTTCTTCCCTGCCTCATGTACTCACTACAGGTACCCTGTGCAGTTGTCTGAGAAGTGCATGCTGAGGACCTGGGTCTGTTCTCTGGGCACTGTCTCAGTCCCTGTCTTGGGCTTCTCAGCTCTGGCCACACATATGAATGTCCTGGGGACATTCAAAAATCATTCTGCCAGGCTGACCCAGTCCACAGGGATCCAGTGGGAATCACAGGTGAGGCCTGAGCAGCATGAGTGAAGCCTCTGCAATTGCAAAGGGGTGGTCATACCCTGAGAACCAATGAAAGATGTGGACCCTCTTCCCAGGAAAGCACGTACAGGTGGTGACATAATTCTGCACACGATGGGGTGGGGGCTCTAAGTCCCAAAGGCCCAGTCCAGCCCTCCTCAGGCCCAGCCAGCAGGCACCACAGTGACAAGACATACTGGGCCATGGAACTCACAGCTAGGAAGGTGGGGGACAGTCACATAAATATGTAATTACAGAGGAGGATATGACCGCTGCTCAGGTAGTGAGTGGAAGGGAGCGAGAGGGGCTGGGGTAGAATGGGGACCAGGCTTCAATCTGAGAGATGTGCAGGGGTGCAGCTGGCCCAGCCAGTCAGAGGATCTGGAAGGGTCTGAGAGGCAAGACTTGGGACCCTGGCTGTCACTGGCTCACACTCACTCCTGCCAGCACATGGTAAGGGGAGGGGTGAGGATAGGACCTTCTTGGGGGCATAGTCCATGCCAGGCCCAGGCCTTGAGTCACTCAGCTAGTCCTAGGATTGGGGAAGCCCTGGGCTCAGTCAGAGGGAGAGTTCCAGGTACCCCCTGAGAGAGAAACAAAGGCCCCTTCACGGCAGGACTGAGGACAAGGGGGCCTCTGTGAAGAGCTGGGGTGGGGGGTACATGAGGGTCTTTCCCAGAATAACCGCACATGTGTGCACACACGGGCACACCCACCAACCCAAACACACAGTTACACATGGGGAACCCTGCTTGCAGTTAGACACACACACAGATGGTTGTAACCACAGGCACATACACACTCCTAGGATGACTCAGTGACACACACTGAGAAACACCACCCCCCACAACCGCTGTCACCTGTTGACAGACATCGATACCCTCATGTACTCATAAGCACAGAGAGATCTGTGTGCACACACGGTATCACCAGCACAATGGACAGAGATATTCCAGGCAGACACAGGGATAAACACACAAGTCTGGAAGCACCCACACATGTCTGGCTAGGGTCTGGCACCAGGAATGTCCAAATGTAGCCTTTTCGACCACAGCCCCTGGGGCACAACGGCTAAGGAGGGAAACAGCAGCTGGGTGTCAGGCAGGCTGGGCCTCTCCACGGAAGGAGGCAGAGAAAGTCCCTCCTGGCCCAGAGCAAAGTCCAAAGTGCACAGAGGAAGAAGTGGGCCAGTCGCATACATCACTGGGCAGGCCTCCCCGCCCACCCGTCTGAGGGGACAGCGGAGGCTGAGGACGAGACCGGGGGTCACAGGTGGCAGTCCGAGGCCTGGCACACGGAAGGAGGGGAAGGTTCACACCTGTCAGGTGGGACGGCCACGCCAGGTACCTCACACATGACCTCCAGTGAGCTCAGACTCACTGAGCAGAACTCAACAAAAAGAGAGCAATTCACCCAAAGCCACAAAGCCGATGGGGCAGCCCCGTGGGGAGGCAGAGGGGGACCCTCCAGTTCTAACTCTGGAACTGGCCACCTGGCCTCCTGTGGGGTGAGGGCATGTCTGTGTGCCTGGGGGTGGGAATGGTTCCTCCTCCAGCCTCCAAAGAGGTGGGCCCCGAGTCTACTTCCTCCACCTTGTCCCTCTGCACCCCCAGAGGCCTCCTTCCAGATTCCCATGGTTCTCCCCATAGTTGACATTAATCTCTGTGTTTGGGAGAAGGTGAAATGGGCACCTAAGGCTTTTGCCACCCATCACCACAAGGGGAGCAGGGCTCAGATGACGCCTCCCCATCTGGGGATCGGGAGAAGCCGGGAGAGAGGCAGGGCCATGGCGTGCCATCCCATGGCGGGCAGTGAACACAGGAACTTAGGAGTGGGGGTCTGGGTGTGGGTTGGACAGGTCTAGTTCAGACCTGGTCTGCTCCTTGGTGCCCTGTGAGCCTGGTGAAGGTGCCCTGGCATCCCCGTCTGTAAAAGGGAGTGATCTTGCCCTGCCTAGGAGGCTGTGCTGAGTGCAAGACCTGGCACCATCATCCTTATCACCACCTCCACCCTCACACCTGGCCTCTCCACACCTGCCCCCCTGCCCATTTCCAGCCGTCCTGTCACCAGGATCAGTGTTAAAGGGGCTCTCTCAAGCCTCCCACCCCTGTAATGCCCTGCTCTGGACTGCTGCTCTGGGAAAAGACCAGGCTTGGCAAAGGCAGCCTGAGACCATTGGCAGACCCTGGGCTAGCTGCTCTCTCTCTCAGGCCCTCGGTCTCCCTGTACTGATAATTCAGACCCACAAGCTTTCTCCAGCCCTAGTTCTAGAAGGCCCTGCAATCCTCCTGTCTCCCTCCACCCTGGTCCGGGCTCCCAGCCCCTGCAGCCCACACCAAGCAAGCATCTGATCTAGCCGCTCCACTGTGCCTGTTTACCCAACAAGCCAGTGACATGATCCAAAGCTTCCGGGGCTGTTGTGAAAACAGTGGCTCAGCCACCGCAAGCCTGCCCTCCTGGGCACCTTGGCAGGGACCTTCGAGGGACAGCCATCCCAACCCCATACCGAGGGCCTCTTGAAATTTCCCACCAAAGACCCGCCGAACCCCGTCCTCCCCAGCCCAGGCTTGCACGCTACCTCTTGACTCTCATGTCTCTGCTTTCAGCTCAGGTCCCACAAACTCCAGGCCTGCCTGTGGGCCCACCTGCCTCCCCAAGCTCACCATGCTCTAGAGACACTCAAATGCACTTGAGCCAGGCCTCCTCATGTCCTCCACGCAAGTGTCCCCTCATCTCCTAGCAGGGCCAGCACTGGCCCCATGACACCAGAGGAGGTGGGGGGTTCACCCTCCTCCCCACACAGCATCACCATCAGTTCTGTGCTGCATTCTACCCTGAAGTCATCTCTTCTGTCCACCGCTGTCCCCATCCTAGCACCCCATCACCTTCCCCAGGCTCTGTACCTGCTTGCTCTCCATCCTCTGCTCTGGCCCCACAGTCCTTCTGCCCCAGCAACTAAGGCAGATCTCGTCACTCCCTGCCCAAGTCCCTAATGGTTACCTTTTCCTTCCCAATAAGCCTAGGCGCCTCCCCCGGGCCTGACCCACCCTCCCTGACCTCCTCGGCCACTGCCTTCCCCTCACTCCTCTGCCCCAGGCCACAGTGACCCCTTTCAGTTCCCTGAACAGCCAAGTTCCTTCCCGCTTAGGAGTCTCCGCATTTGCTGTTCTGTCTTCCTGCCCCTCCTCTGAAACACACACTGGCTCCTTATCATTCAGGTCTCAAATGGACAACTCCTTGACCTTCCCATTTCACAGATGAGGCAGCTGAGGCTCAAAGCAGTCTAGTCCCTGGCTCAAGACTACACAGCCAGTAAATATCAAGTGAGAATTCGAACCCAGGTCTGTCTGGTGCTTGCAGAGGTCTTGCTCCTAAACCTTCAGGATATGCCCTCACTCAAAACTCCTAGCCCAGGCCCCTGCCAATCTCCAGCCCTCCAGTCTTCTGGCCCCCGCCTACAATACCACTATCATTACCACACCAACACCCGAGGCCCCCAGCCTCTGGGCCCTGGATAGCAAAGGGCTTCCCCTCCCTGTCGCTAGCACAAGCATGTCCCTGTCACCAGCTGCCACGTGTCAAGGATGTATGTATGGACATGTGTGTAGGGGGAGTTTCTATCCCCAGATGTCTACCCCCTTCCCAGTCCACAGGCTGACTCCAGGGGTCCAAAGGGCAGGCGGTCTGGCAGGAGGGCTCACCACCCACCCCCCATCACCAGCGTCAGTTTCTCCAGGCCCAAGGTCCCGCAGGGGACCAGAGTCAGGGAAGGGGCCCAGGGGAGGCTGAGGGGGCAGCAGGCAGCTGCCTTTCTCTTCCCTGCATCCATTTGTCATGAGATCTATTTTCCTCCCTTTGAAAGGGAGTGAGGGGGCTGGGCTGCTGAGTGGGCACAGCTGCTCCGCCCTGCAGCTCCTCTCCTCAGAGGACATGGAACGTACCCTCCCCACCCTGCAGCACTGCCACCGGGAGGCAGAACAGAGCGGGAGTGAAGGAGCCTGAGACCTGGCTTCTCAGCCGCGTTGTGCAGCCACCTGGCCCTGTGACACTGGGCCGGTGCCCAGGCCCTCAGACGATAATAACCCCACCATCAGTACCACTTGCTGTTTTGGGGGATTGTTACCACAAACTGAGTGCTAAGTGCTTTACATAACTCCAGTTTCTACCCCTTAAACACTAATAAAGTGCCAGGCAAGATGCTAGCTACTTTGCATACATTATCTGTAGCTTCCGGCACAACCGCAGGAAGATGGATGCTATCATTGTCTCATCTGTCAGAGAAGAAAGATGAGGCACCAGGCATCAAAGCCACTTGTCCAAGTTCATTCGTACAGCTTGGAGCCGGCTAATCCCTGAGACGCAACCCAGCCGACGCCAGTTCACGCGACGCAGCTCTGCCTGCCAGAGTTAGCGCTCTGAGCCTCTGAGCTCAGAGGAAAGGAGGAGCTGGGGTGATGGGGGTTGCAGGGGACTTCATAGCCTCAGCTCCCCGAGCCCTCTCCTCGGGCCTCTGTCAAGGCCTGGTCAGCCCTGGCAGCGGGAAGCCTGGTCAGTCAGCCTAACCCACTGGCCAGGCCCTGCTCCCCTCACAGGCAAGGCCGGGGCGGGGCAGGCCACAGCCGGAGGGCTGGTCAGTCCCACTCTGAAACCACTTCCTGGGCAGCCCAAGGGAAGTGAGCCTCCGGAAACACCTCGGATGGACAGATCTCTCCCTGGGCCCAGGCCTTGGAAAGTGTACAGACCGCCCTGGGAGAAGTACCCTGCTTGCCTCCCAGTTGCCAGAGCCCAGCAACT